TGTTACTTTCAGATATGTTGTGAAAGGAGCTAAGGGAGCATCTGCCTGAAAAATATGATGGAAAATTGGAAAATTATAAGTACGTTCAGAAAAATCTTTATGAAAGCTGCTGCCTATGGCTATCTTGGGTTGACATATTTGATTGTATACTTTTTAACATTTATGTAGCTATGAATGATTGTTCTATCCTTCATTTGGAGGGCCCTTCTGTTTACATAAAAGTTGTAGAAAAATATTTATATATTATTATTCTGATTTAAAGTAATACCAATCACTTGGCAAAAAATCAGTACAGTACTTTTAGGGGGGCATTATCCCACCAGGGCACAGGTCACTGACCCACATCAGCCTGGCGGAGGGGTGGGGGATGTACGGTGGTAGTAGTAGTAGTAATAATAATAATAATAATAATAATAATAATAATAATAATAATAATAATAATAATAATAATAATAATAATAATAATAATAATAATTCAGAGAAGTAATATTTTTAATAAAAAAAAAAATAATGGCAACAATAATAATAATATTAACACTGCAATAACATTAATACTAATAATAAAGAACCGTAATGAAATACTTTGTTTTTTACTTTTATCCTCTTCGCCACTGATCGACTCATTAGCCGCCATAGGTTACGCTCTGTTATAAATACTGAGCATGCACTGGCTCCTCTGAATGTACCTGAACCTGCTCCAATGTTGGTCAAGTCTTGTCTTGAAAGACTCACACCTCGGTGCCATCACAACACTTTCTGGTAGATTGTTCCAAGAGTTCACAACTCTCACCAAAAAGTTTGCCCCTCTCAGTTTTCTGGACATGCTTATACACCTCAATAGGTCACCCTGCCCGTCTGTAGTATAAGCTGTGCGTTCAGGCTTCCACCCTCAGGGTAGTTGAGGCCAAAATGCAGGCACCAGTCTGGTGGCCCTCCTGAACATTTTCAATCAACTGGACATTCCCTGGTATATCTCGGGGACCAGATAAGGTGACAGCACTAGATGGGGGAGCACTTCACTTTAAGATCGTTACGAGGACAGGTAACTGCCTAGCCATCTGAACCAACCCACTTATAAGACCCACACTTATTTGCTCGGTTTACCTTCAATATCCCCAAGAACATCAGCTCATTGTCAACACATACACACCTAGGTCCTTTCTCATTAATTCAGTCTTAAGTAGTACAGTTTCTTCCTCCTGTTGGGACATATGATACGCCTCCTTACCATTGGTTCGCCCCAGGTGCATCCCTCTTACACTTCGCGGACATTGAATTTCAGCAGCCATTTCTTCGACCATTCTTGGAGCTCAGAGATCCTTCAGCTCTTCACAGTCCGCTTGGTTCTGATTTCCTAAATATCCCATGCCATCACATTTAGTATGGGAGGAGTGTACAATGCCAGGCATGTTATTTATGAAACAAAAACAAATACGTAGCCTAATACACTGGCCCATGGTACTCTGTTTGTGACGGGCTATTAATCACCACCACACACTGCATGCGTCAAGAGAAAAGTCTTCTGTCCACGCTTAGGACATTTCCGACTGCACCTTCCAGTTTACTTTTCAGCCTTCGTAAGTACACTGTCTAAAGCCTTAAGCAATAATTTAGGTATATAATGCTTCCATATTACGATTAACTTATTCTTTCGCTTTCATTTGTTAAACCTCTAGAACTAATTGTGCTCGCTAACCCAGGGACTACTGTGTGTATATATATATATATATATTGTTGTTACATATATATATATATATATATATATATATATATATGTTTATATATATATATATATATATATATATATATATATATATGCAAGTAAACTTGTAGGTTACTTAGGTATATGTTACACCACAAGAAAGCAATTCACATCTTCAGTGAGTACAGACTGAAGATGTGAATTACACCTAAAGCTTGGGGAACTTCGGCGGTTTTCTTCTTTCCCTTGTATCAGCATATATATATATATATATATATATATATATATATATATATATATATATATATATATATATATATATATATATATATATATATATATATATATATATATATATATATATATATATATATATATATATATATATATATATATATATATATACACACACACACACGACCCTCGTTAATTCGGACCCCTTTAATCCGGATTTCGGATAATTCGGACAAAATCTTAACTTTATTTTTTTTATAGATTTGTAGGAATACTACCTACGCGGACCTTAACCTAAAATGCTGGTCCACCCACTGCTGGGATAAAACACTAGCGTCTTTTTGGTTAAATGTAACATCTCCACCACTAGTGTGGGGGGGGGGGATGCAACCTTTAGCTTCAGACATGAAAAACATTTACCTTTACTGCCAGTAAACAATTTTAACATAAAATATGTACCAATTAGAAATGAAAAGTTGAGCAGTTCCTTCAGCAAATGAAGCTCACCAACTTACAATAGGCTAAATTACCTTACAACGTGCTTTCAGTAGTTTATGTTGAAGTTCTTAGCTCGGGCTAACTTATCATATCATATACGGTATCACAGTTCTCACTGATCTACAAAAAATACCGGTAATAAAAACCTTTTCGATATTTCACACTTAATATAATACCCGGTAATCTACTTCAACCTCCCATTGTTTACAACGACACATGACGCACCACCAGCTGTTGAGTATCAGCTAGACGGTACGCGTGTTTTTCGAATCGTTTTCAGTTAAAAACTGTTACATCACACGTATATTTTACCTAAACTGCGCCTGAATGAATATATTCTCGGAAATAAATAGTAGTTTTGCTGAAACGTGATGTATTTTAATGTAAAATAGGATAAAATATACGACGAAAACAAAAGACTTTACCTAAGCTTCCGATGTTCTTGAGATGTTACTCGTTTTTTTAATAGTTTTCGGTTAAAATACTGTTATATTACAATGATATTCTATTCATACTGTGCTTGATTTAATACATTCACGGAAATGTAATATTTTTGCTGAAATTACGTACGTATTACAGTGGAAAGTGGGATAAAATCGTGACGAAAACAATGACTGAAATATAATGCAATATTAACCCCTAAATCGGTTAATTCGGACAATCGGCTAAAACGGACACCCTTCCCCCCTATTAGTCCGAATTAACGAGGGTCGACTGTATATATATATACATGCAGTAGAAGTCCAAAAATCCGGACTGCTTGGGGCTTGGGTAGGTGCGGATTTTCCGGATTCTCAGGCAGTACTTTTAAAATTCAAATTTAAGGAGGAATGAAGAAGAGGTGAACAGGTACATTTTGATAGTTTATTCATTAGCAAATATAGCATGCTTCATTTATCAAAACGAGCAGTTTTAAAGAAAAAGCTGTGAATTCTAGAATTTTATTCTTTGCCTTTTTTATATCATAAATTGTAGACTTTCCAAAGTCATATGTTTCCATTAGAACAGTATTGTTCAAACCACGTTTTAATTTCTTAATTATTTAAAGTTTGTCACTCAATTTCAAAGTGTTGTTCCTTCTCTTCACACAACCAAGTTTATCTACTTTAGGAGCAATTATTATGGGCTTGTACAGTACTCTGTAAATGGAATGAGTAGGACTCAAAATTACATACGTTGTCACAGTTTGATTGCTCATTTTAAAGTGGCGACCGTGTGGTCGCTTGTTGTCGCTGTGTAGCTGTGGCGCTCAAGCATGCGCATACACACAAAAGCCAGCTAAATAAAAAAAATTAATAAAAAAATTGATTTTTGAAAAGTCCGGATTCTCGGGTGGTCCGTATTTCTGGCATCCAGATTTTTGGACTTTTACTGTACGTACATATACACTCTTACTCTTAAATTACCACTGTAATGTGATACAGGTGATTAATTTTTATCTCTTGTGCAAAATATATGACGTTTATGTTCAAATTATTCGCTGTCATGCAAGGATTCCAGCAATGCAAATTATATTCTCCTAACTTTAGTCTGTGATATTATATAAGATAAAAACTTAAAGCCTACTGTATAACCACCAAGCCCTTGCTGGGAGGGAGGGGTGACAGTGACATGTTTGACAATTAGTGCTGAAGGTCTAGTGAAGTATATATTTGTTTATTATGTCCATTAGATTGAGTTTTTGTTTTTTGCTTATAAAATGTCATAGAAGAGACTGGGGATAATATAATTTTCATTGCTAGAATTCTTATAAGATAGTGGTTAATTTGAATGTAAACATGCAATAGATTGCACTAGACAAAAATTTTAGTAAACATTTTGTACATTATTTTGATTACATGTACAATACAGTACAGCCTTATCCTAAGGACATTGTGTGCATGTAAATGAGTTTCAATAAATTAATAAAGTTACATACATGAGCCAAAAATATTAGTTGAAAAACTTTATGTAGACAGAGCTTGGATGGCTAAATTTTAGAATGACCAATAATTTTAATATAAAAAATGCACAAATATTAAAGAGCACAACTTTCTTGATATTTACTCCACTGGAAATGAATGTAAACATACTGTAGAACAGATTACTGTATTGGCAGACTAGCCCATCAGCTGATGCTCACAACAAAACGTGTTTGTCGTAAGGATTTCGCTAATCGGAGTTTTGTTCGTTAACCGAATTGAAGATCCTTATGGGAGGTAATTCGTTAACTGAAATTTCGTTAATCGAACCGTTTGTTAACCAAGGGACCACTGTACTCGCCAAAATGGTTTTTATTTATTATTTGATTTTATTTATTTATTTTTATTTTTTTGTGGCTTCCTATGATTTCCCAGCCTTTTTTTTATGTAGGAAGGCATCATTTGAATAAATGCTTGGCAATATCTTAGCCACGAATAGCGCTGCTCAAGAAAAAAAAAATCTTCACGATTTCTGGTCATTCTGTGGGCTCCAAACAGAGCGCGTGACAGCCTGTGAGATATACTGTATACAGTACAGTAAATACAGACTTATCATGTCTTAAGTGCTAAGGGACACCAACAAGAAAAATTAAACCCTTTCTTACCTTGTCAACAGAGGTTGGATCAGCAATGACAAAGTAGCCAAAGAGGCCAGCATCACTGTAATTAATATTGATTGATGATGCCATGCCAACACCGCCTGAAGATGCCACAGCACTAGACAGTACACTGCTGGCATTGCTTCCATACTTAGTGCTCGGGCCAACACCAAGAATCTGTTGTGCTACAGCCAGGGCTGCTGCATCACTGTCACCAATACTGTTAAGCAAAGATTAATCTTCTATACCATTACTCTTAAAACACATTGTTTGTAATGATGGACCTTTAAATTTAAAAAAGTTACTGCTCACATTTAAGATATAAGAGAAACTTAACACATATATGAGCATAAGGATAATATCAAGAATACAGTATACACTTCTGTACACATATAAAGTGATAAAATAAATACAATAAAACCCTTATACCTGGCACCAGCACTAGCTACAGCCACCACTGTAACAGATGCTCCATTCTCCTGGCGAATTTCTCCCCCACCATAAGCAGCAGCTCCAGCTTCACCTTCTCCATTAGGTACATTGAGACCACTGGCATAGGAAACCAACGCATCATGGTCAACACCTAAACCAACCACTGCCATGCGACTGGTCAAATGGGTGGAAGCTACATAACCAGAAAGCTGTCAAACAAGAATTATATTAAAATTAGGTTCTCCAGAAAAATCAGCAAGGGCACAAATTTAAGTAAAAATTTTAAGGGTGCACCAGAAGCCACGAGAGATTTTTTATTATACTGGAACTGCTATTGATGGCATTGGTGGTTTCAGAAATTATAGTGCAACCTGAGTTTAAACCATGAGCAAATTAGACATTACAGCAATCATCTGCTATTGGTTAATACAAATTTTGCTTTATTTTAAATACAAATACCTTTATCACTTCTGCCACACCCTGTACATGTAGAGACTAAAAGATGGTGTAAATCTCTTAAGTATTTCCTTATAAGATGGTTGATTTGAAGTGTTGCTCAGACATTATGCCATTCCTTGTTGAATACTACAGTTACCTCCCTGTACCACACTTCTTTATACAGCACCGCTCAGATTCCAGTAATATCTCAATTCTGAACAAACTCCCTATATCTCAAATAATAAATATAATAGAGTGAACCCTCGCTTTACGCGGTTTCACTTTACGCGTTTCTATATTTACGCGGTACCCTGCCAGAACCGGAATTCCCACTTTATGCGGTGCATCTACTCATATACGCGGGTGACGTGTAATTTTTTTATTTAGCTCAAAAAATTCATACAAATTATCCGGCCAGAATATAATTTACATTGCTGGAATTCTTACAATTTGATGATCATTTTGAATATAAGCATCATAGATTTTGCATTAGACATACAAATTTTAGATCTAATGCAAGTATTTTGTTTACTCAGAGCAAATATGTTATCTTTTGTGCAAAATATATGAAGTGTATATTCAAAATATTCCTGGTCTTGCAAGGAATCCAGCAATGTCAATTATATTATCCTAACTTTAGTCTGAGGTATTATTTATTACTAAAAATGTAAATATACTGTTATAACCCAATAATTTCTCTGGTAGGGAGGGAAGGTGGAGGTGAGGGGTAGAGAGGGAGGGAGGGACCCAGGGAGCAGGTGGGAAGAGGGGAGGAGGTGGGGTATTTTGATTGACAGATAGTATTTCAGTAAGTATATTTTGTTTATTTATTGAAGATATTTGTTTTAGCTCATAAAATTCATACAAATTACCGGGCCAGAATATAATTTACATTGCTGGAATTCTTACAATTTGATGATCATTTTGAATATAAACATCACAGATTTTGCATTAGACATACAAATTTTAGATCTAATGCAAGTATTTTGTTTACTCTGAGTAAATACAGGTTGTACTTCTCTAGTCCGGCAACCTCGGGACCTGACCGGTGCCGGACCATGGAAATTCACCCTTATCCTGGATACACAGTGACTTGTGCTTATGCTTGGAAGCACTAGCACCACTTTCTCTACATCATGGTTTCTTTGAAGACATATTGAAGGGTTAAATGTCGTATAGTAGCTTCTCAAATTTCGCGAGTTTTTAATTCTTAACGTATTTTATTGGAACACAAAAAAAAAATAAAAATAAAATTTGACGGTGGAAACTTGAATTTCGACGGGTTTGAACGGCCCGCCAACGTGCAGACGACGTGCATAATCGTGTAAACAGCGTCATTTCTCTTATGTACAAAAGATTCATTATTGTTTATTACTGAATGTCTTTTTTATTGAATTAATGTTTTTGTGTGCAAAATGAGCAATACAATTCATTAATAATACGTAGAATATTAAAACACGCGAGGAAATGACACAGCATTGTTTTCGTTGATTACAAAGCCAGTGACTGACTGGTTCTACATATAAAACTGAAGAAAATAAGACCTTGGTTGTAGCTGTAGTAAAATTAATATGGTTGTTTTAAGTAATGTTATTTAATGTTAATAAATGGAACAATAGAAGTAGCTAACGATAATGGTAAAGAAAAAAGAGAGATCGCGTATGTAAGTGCGCATGCGCACACGTGAAAACATATCATCATTACTTTACATAAGACTATGAAAGCAACACTTATTTACTGTTCATATATATTTTAATTAATGTTTCTGAATTTGTTTTTATTGAATTAATGTGCGTGTGTGCAAAATTAACAATACAATTTATTAATAATACGTCGAATATTAGAGGAGACGAGACGGCTGCCGGCATTGTTTATGTTAAAGCTTACGAAACCAGTGACTGATTGGTTCTACATATAAAACTGAAGAAAATAAGACCCTGATTTTAGCTGTAGTAAAAGTAATGTAAAAAAATTAATATGGTTGTTTGAAGTACCTGTAATGTTATTTAATGTTAATAAATGGAACAATATAAGTAGCTAACCATTAATGGTAAAAAAAAGTGAGACTGCGCGTATGTAAGTGTGCACATGTGAAAACATATTGTCATTACTCTACATAAGAATATGAAAGCAACACTTATTTACTGCTCATATATATTGAAGGGTTAAATGTTGTACTCTGTATAGACAAACAGAGAGAGAGAGAGAGCAGCCGAACTGCCGGATGTAAACAAACCTTAATTTCCCGCGGCTTTGTTTTTTTTTTAAGGGGATTAGCCCACCCGGGCATAGGTCACTGACCCACAATGGGGCCTGAGGGGCATAAATTTAATACTCCTGTAATAATAATTCAGATAAGTAAAACAAAAAAAAAACAAAAAAACCTGCCTATCTACCCATTGGACAAACTAAAATCGTTCCGGACCAAGGGAGTTTCCGGACCACAGAATGCCGGACTAGAGAGGTACAACCTGTATGTTATCTTTTGTGCAAAATATATGACATTTATATTCAAAATATTCCTGGTCTTACAAGGAATCCAGTAATGTCAATTATATTATCCTAACTTTAGTCTGAGGTATTATTTATTACTAAAAAGGTAAATATTCTGGTTTCTCCCACACATTTCTCTGGTAGGGAGGGACCAACCGACCATCTGGCGAGGTTGGAAGAGGGGGGGGGAGGCAAGGTGGGGTATTTTGATTGACAGATAGTGTCGTGAAGAATATTTTTTTTTTTATTAAATGAAGATATTTGTTTTAGCTCATAAAATTCATACAAATTACCCGGCCAGAATATAATTTACATTGCTGGAATTCTTACAATTTGATGATCATTTTGAATATAAACATCATAGATTTTGCATTAGACACACAAATTTTAGATCTACTTTAAGTATTTTGTTTACTCTGAGTAAATATGTTATCTTTTGTGCAAAATATATGACATTTATATTCAAAATATTCCTGGTCTTACAAGGAATCCAGCAATGTCAATTATATTATCCTAACTCTAGTTTGAGGTATTATTTATTACTATACCTTAAAATCTAGTGGTTTTCCCCCAAACGTTTCTCAGAGAGGGAAAAGCCAGGAGTGTGAGAAGAGGGGGAGGGAGTCGTGTCCATTATTTGAATGGACATTAACTTGGCGACTGTATTTCTCTGAAGTATTAATTGTGTGCATGTACCATCATAAAATTAAGATGTTATTTTTACTAGAACATAGGTATTGTGTCGGAAAAAGTGGAGTTTGGGGGTCAGCCGGTCTCTATTTCATTTAATCCCATATGTTATGTTGTTCGCTTTACGCGGGCCTCCGTGGGTTCAATTGACCGCGTAAAGTGAGGGTTCACTGTACTGTAATTCAAAGCTTAAATGCGACTCAAATAAATTACATTTTAATTCAGCAATGATTCAGAAATCCAATAACTCAAACCCAGGGGCAGATCACATCCCAAAAATGAGTTTAGTGAGGCTAAGACTTCAAAAATTCAAAAGAAAAGCTACGGACAAATCAAAAGGGATTTCGGGGAACTCAAAACAGGGTCAAGGATAGAATATGAAATTGAGACCAAAAACAGATTTTCAGTATTGCTAGAGAGTGACTTTTATGAACTAGGGCCAAAACGACAATTAAATAATTACGAAGAAGTGATGTGGACACTGGGGGAAACTTATAGGACATAGTAGGAATAAAGCTATAAGTGAGTGAATGACAAATGAAATTTTAAAGAAAACGGATAAATAAAGAAATATGAGAAAATTAAGTGAGGTTTACATAAAAATTAACAAAAAAGTTCAAAGGGAATGCAGACAGGCCAAGAAAGATGACCTTGGGAGAAAATGCAATGAGATTGGAGATGATGACAGAAGGCATAATTATAGAAAATGTACAGAAAGATTAAACAAATGATAAAAAATGGGAAATAAATGGGGTGGGACTATTAAAAGTAAAGAGAATAAGATCCTGTTTGAGGCAAAAGAAGTAGGAGAGAGATGGGCAGAGTACGTAGAAGAATTATACACTGATAAAGGTAGAGTAGAGTTAAGAAATGAAAAGGAAATAAAGATAGAAATGCCAATTCTGGTTACAGAAGTTGAGGCAGCTGTGAGCAAAATGAAAATTGATAAAGATTGTGGGGTTGATCAGCTTCTAGCAGAATTTCTAAAACAAATGGGCAAAAATGAGATTGCATTTTGTTTAATTAAATATGTAATTCCATATACTGTACAGTACTGTGCTGTACTTCAAACTTCCCAGTGATTTCAAACAATCAGTATTTGTATTATTACCTACAAAGGCAGGAGCCTTAGAGTACACCCAGTTCAGAAAAATAAGCTTAATAAGTCATGCTTGTAAAGGTTTATTAAAAATAATATTAAGTAGAATAAAACTTAGAATAGACAAGAGTTATTTGAAGATCAAACTGGATTTAGAAAGGGAAAAGGAGCGAGAGAAGCTATATTCGGTTTGAGCATTTTGAGTGAAAGGACTTTAGAGGTTCAAAGAAATTTGTATTGCTACTTTGTTGATTTTGAAAAAGTACAATAAACTTGTCGAGATTTTGGATAAGAGGCATTGATGAAGGAGATACAGTAAAGCCTCCTATGACGGTTCTACTAACGACAATTCATATTTAAGACCCAGGTTAATTTAGGACCCAATTCAATTTATGCCATCATTTTCTTTGTATTTAAGTCAAAATAAAAAAAATATTTTTAAATTACATTTTCATATAAATAACTAAATCCCGTTCTATATTTAATAAC